ATGCACTCTCATCCGGGCCGCATCGAGCCGCATCGCCGCATCGGCCCCCCACCGCATCAGGGCCGCATCCCACATTTTAAAACACTGGTTAGGGTAGCTATTGAGCAAGTTTACTTAGGTCCGAGGAGCATGGGTGGGATTTATGGAAGGGTATGAGTAGATGGGATGTGCTAGCTCGTTGGGATAAGATAATGCTCTTTTTTTTTCTTTTTCCTGCTACGTTGAGGAAAATGCTCTACCTTGTCAGGGTGACTCTCCTAATCTTTAGCTAGAGTTGTATAATCACTTTCTCTACAAAAAAGAGGTTGAGGGATCTATCCTTGAGGTGAAGGAACCAGTCCTACAAAGATGGCCTCACACCACTAAAAGAAATAATTCAGTCTTTATTTTCAATTCAACTTTGAATGAATTGACTATAGGATTTTATAGATAGTTCCAAGTTCTATTTGCCCTATACTCGGACTTTTGAAAGCATAGAAAACAAATTCCAAAGGGCTCAAAAAATATGTACTGCAAAGGTTTCTAATCCCATTAGGATTGGAACCTTAGTTTTTGGAACCCCAATAACTTTAGGAAACTAAAGTTAAAATCCAATTACAATATGGTTTCAAAAATGAAAGGAAAGAAACCTAACACACTTGGGAAAATAAAACTCGTAACAAATTATTGTTGCATGCTTTCAACCATGATTTTGAAGCCCCAAACATTGGGATTACAAAAATACCCATAGAGATTAGGGTTGTAGATCGATCTTCGATTTTGGATCAGACAAGTGGGCATTAAGCAAAAAAGTTACTTTATTCAAGAGTTGGCTGCATCATCCCCTCTCGATTGGGGATTACTCATCCTCAAGTTTCGAACTGAACTTGTATACGTTTAGATCCTTTGTCATCTTCGATCCTTTTCCTGTTGCTTCTAAGAATTTGGAAGCAATGTTAACTTCACCAAAGGGAATCATGTCATCATCTTTTTCCATGATCTCATAAACAACTTCTCTCACAATTTTGTTTGTCTGGTATGTCATCATGGATGGGATCACATATTAAATGCATAACGCTTCAAATTGTGCCCTTAAAATTCGTCTATAGATGGATTTTACCCACAGCTTCCCGATCTTGATAAAGGGCTTGTCTGAGGGTGGTGGTTAGCTGTAAAGCTCCTTCTTGACCACCAACTTCAAGTTTTTCCACCTTAGAAAGGGTATCAATGTTTCAGCAACTCTTAAAGGTACGACATTTTCACTATTACCTCCTTTAAAAGGAGCATGACTGGTTACTTTTTATTGTTGTTGCCCTTATTTCTATTGCCATTGTATTGACAGCTGATCTATGAGTAGTGGGTTATTCTTCAACCAAAACATCGGGAATTTGTTGCATGGTGTTCATTTGATCCATGAGTTGCAATAAAAGCTTGTTCCTTTGGTTCGGGGAAAGACAAGAGGCATAGATACAACCTTTCAATTTGACATGCCTGAAGATAAAGCAATCTCCCAAGGAACAATTTGCTTCTAATACCAAACTGATGCCTGGCCATGGGGGCTTAGCTCCTACGTGAGTGCACGAGGTGTTTGAAAGAAAGGGTTTGGTTACAATTCGGATTTCTAGTTTGCTTAGGCTGTAGCAGTTTTGAAGAGTTTTTTATTTCTATAAATATCAGGACAGTAGGGTTTTGGATGTCTTGGGATTCCTGTCTTGAGTAGGACTGTATGATGAGAGGCCTAAATGAGGTAGGACTTAGGCCAGGTTTATGGGAATATTTTGGTATGATTGCTGCAATAATTAGGAATTGGTTCAAGGGATTTAAGAGAGGAATACCTTGTTGGAATATAGTAGGTCTAACAAGGTCAGGATGATGAAATATAGGGCAAATCTAGGGTTTAAACTTTGGTTTGAAGGCTATGGAGGCTAGGTATATGATTGGGATAGATATTAAGTGATTTTACCTCGAGTTTGGACAGGTATGGCTAGTCTTTATGGAAGGGTTTGAATGAATGACAAGTTTGGTTGTTGGGAATCCTAGATGGGAATGTGCCGCACAAGAGGCAAATGGAAAAGGCTTATAATTTGTCTGTGAAACTTTTCTTATCTTATGCTAGAGTTGTGGACTCACTCCCTCTTAAAAAGTTGAGAAATCTTCTTAAGATGAGAAATGTTCTTAAGATGGGGGAATCGCTTCTCAAAATATGACCTCACAGCACTAAAAGAATTTAGTTTTTATTCTCAATTCAACTTTGAATGAATTGGCCATAGGCCTAATGAATATATATTGAGAGTTCCTAGTTCTGTTTGACCTATACCTGGACTCTTAAAAGCATAGGAAACAAGACTCTAGGAACTCAAAGGTCTATGAACCTTACTTTGTAAAAGCCCAAAATTTTAAGGAAAACTAAATTTGCATTTCCAATTACAACAAGGACAAAAACGAAGACCTACCACACTTGGGAAAATAAAGTTCCTCACTAACATTTCCCACAGGCTTTCAACCACCACGACTTGAAGCCTGAAACATCTGAATTGTGAAAAACCCATAGAGATAAGGTATGAGATCTTGGATTTAAGCTTTAGATCACCCCAAACAGACATCTTAGTGAAAATTTATTTCTGAAAGCTGACTGTATCACCCCCTCCTAAACTAAGTTCTTAAATTGTAAGAAATTGTTTTACTTTTAACATCAAATCGATTTATGGACGATTTTAAATGAATGCTCATAGTTGACTACCTACAGATTTGCATGAAATAGATTACATCTGTGGAAAGGGAATTTATTGTGAGTTCGTTTTGCATTGTGGTTCTTCTCACCTCTGAAGTGGAAATGATTAAAGCCTGACTATAACATATTAGTGTTTGTTTTTATGGTTTCTAAGTTTACAGTGTAGTAAATAAATGGATGTGGTTTACCATCCACTTCACTTGTGAAGTGAACTACTTTTATTGTTGGAAGTTATATTTTCTGCTTCCTAATGATCACATGGTTGACCTGTTATACTGCCTTGATGTGGTTATGACACCCACATGCCCATCATATCAATCTCATGTTGGAGTTTGTGCATTGTTAGACTGCGATGTAGCTAGGACATTTGAGAAGATACATGGAATGACATTGTTAAGGGGTTGGCTATTAGATTTGTGGGCCAACTTTGAACTTCATGTCATATGTAGCCTATATTAGTTCTCGAATGAAAGGTTGGGATCATTTGGTGCAAATATAAAGCTTTTATGAAGCTGCCATATGCAAATGATTATTGTGCTATGGTGGCTTGCAATTTTAAGAATTAGGTTCTCCTTCTAGCGTCATACTCCTGCTCTGAAGGATCTGCCTAAGCAATGGCTTTTGAAATTATTTTTGCCCCTGCTCTTCATTTATGATTCTGCTTCTGCTTTCACAGTGAGTTTGCCTTCTCTGAGGGAGAGAGGTGCTTCTATGGGTGAATGTTTTCATGCATGTATAATATATGTCTGTTTGTTTATGTGTCGTGATAAAATAAATATTTGTACATTTTGTAAGTTAACAACTTCATCAAAAAAACATATTTGTACATTTTGTTTGCGCATGTATCTAGATGTTTGAATGCTTGCGTCTAGACTTTAGAACATAACTTATGTATAAATATGTGTAAAAACTAGGAGATATTTTTTTTTTTGAGAAGATTAACTTATACAAAGAAACATTGGTATCCCAAACTTATGTCCCCGGACATGCTTTGTTGGTTTGGTGCCTTAAGAAATGTAGCCCATGGAAGCGAGGAATACAAGTTTAAATCATATACTAAAGAGAAGGAAAATCAAAGCAATGTGTCATGATTTCTATCTTCCATTAAGCATCATTTCAGGAAACAACAAATTTGTTAATGCGCCCCCCCCCCCCCACAACCCACCCACAAAAACAACAAAAAAAAAAAGAGAAAGAAAGAAAGAATAAAAGTTCAAGGCATAGTTATAAGTTTCTATACTCCTTACATTAGGCTGCATTAGGCTAAGAAACTGCAATGGTAGCAGGGAACCGCAGAAAATCTGCCCACAAGTCATACAAAATTGCTGTACAAAATGACCTTCCTTTTTCAGTCAATCCAATCCTTAAATAGGTACGAAAACCTGTCAAAACTCACCGAAATGAATCCTAGTCATCCCCTAACTCGTTCCTAAAGTAAACGACTCCTTCAACAACTTAACAAACCCTAATAAAATCTAGAAAAGAATCTTACTGTTCTAGGAATCTCAAAACTGCATTATTCGCAATACTTGTCAACGCCATCAGGTTTTTGCCATGATTTGAAACCTGAAACACTCCCATTTGGAAAAATCCTTTGAAATAATGATTGCAATTCTTGAGGAGATTTTGTAATGAGCTTTGGTTCACCCAAACAGACTCCACGGGACAAAGTTAGGCCTTTTGGAAGTAGTCTGCATCAAGAACTAGAACAGGAACTATAATTTTCGAATTTGCTCTTCTTTCCATATTTTAGGAATGCAGCAATTTCTTGTTAATTTCGTATTTTTAATAATTAATAGTGATACTTGCAAAGTTCATGTCTAGAGGATATTTTGATTCAGTTTGTTGGGGAATATGATTGGTTCCCTCTAGAATGGATAGAAGAAAGAAACACTAAAGACTCTCTCTTATGGAGTTCTAAAGTTGTTTTCTTGTATCATGTTTAGAAACTCAAAGGAACTTCTGGTGATTTTGAGTTTCCTCGAGACTAAAAATGCTTCTGGGTCAATCCTAGTCGAGTCAACGATCTCTGGATTTGATCTTGCTATTTACCAGACTCTGGTCATTCCTAGGTGTAGATTGTCGGTCAGGCCACCTAGGCAGTCAAATATTTCATTCTTGGTGAAGGGGTTATCTGGTAGTATTGGATCTAATCTTATGTCAGCACCATACAATGTTTTTGGAATGCTATGTCAGTATACTTTTGCACATTCTTAGTCATCAAGGACTCCGAACCAATTTTAGAAGCCATGGAAGTTTGTCTTGACCTAGTTCATTTTTTTTTTGGCAGGCACGTGCGCTTCATCACATATCGAAAGCTTTTACAATGGCTGCCTCCAAATTAGAGAAGATTGGATATGGTATGTGACTAGATGCGATTTCTGTCTCTTTTTAATTGATCTCTACAAAACATGAACTTTTTATTTTATCCAAATAGAGAAATTTTATCTTGTTCAATAATTTTTTGTTTGATTATTTGTAATTGTGCGCAAACAGACACTAGTAAAAAATATTCTTAAGCTGTTGCAGCACATAGCCACTCACCTTTTTAATTATCCAAACACACTGTTGGTGGCAGAATAAAAAAAGCAGTGGTGGACAATTAAAAAAGTGAGTAGCTGAATCATCATTATCATTTAGCCTTTTCTCAAGTAATTGGGGTCGGTTACATGAATCCTGGTTCTCCATTCTGCTTTATTAAAGGCCAAAGAGTGAGTAGCTGAATCTCTTTTATGGGTAATTCAGGGGTAGACTATGAAATTCAACTTTACCTTAGTGAGGATAAAAGATTGGTTTCCTGGGTGGTCTGACAGTTAGAGTAGCCTTTGAGATCTTTGTGGTTGATTGCCTAAAGAATGGTGATACTTCTGATATAATCCACCATAACTGGTATAGTTCTCTTGTTTGCCCTAAAAATTCTAGAGTTGCGTTCACCCAGATATCCATAGGATAGCCAAAACTGAAGCTTTCCAGATGAACGAGGCTGATTTGGGATAAGGAGGGGAGAAGTAGGCTGAAAAGAGTCATTCTGTTGAGATAGGGATGACCCAGTGCCAATTGAAGTCTCTGATCATTTGTTCCCATAGATTAGACACCACCCTACAATGGAGAAAGAGATGGCTATGCGCCTCTTCAGCATCCAGACACAGACTATACAATGATTAACTAAAGGTCATCCTCTCCTTTGTGGCTGGTCCACAGTAAGGTTTCTGTTAGAAATGACCAGCAAGGAGAAAGCTTGAACTTTGGTTGGGATAGGGGTGATCCAGTCTTTAGATGGAGGGGTTTAGGTGATGTGGGTGAATACGTATGGGAGAGGACTCGATAAAAGTAGAAACAATGAATCTACCAGAGTGGGTTTTGGTCCAAATAATTTTATCGTGCACAGTAGGTGAAACAAACACAGCCTGGAGCTGGTGAAACAGGCTTGAATGGTCTTCAGGTTCTGTGTCTGAAAGAGGTCTTCTAAATGTTGGTGTCCAAGTGATCCTGTCATCCGAGAACTCAAAGGATTGAGCAACAGTGGCATGGGGAAGGCTAGCAACCAGAAAGAGTCTCGGTCAAGCATCCTCTAAAGGCTGATTTTTGACCCAAGTATCTTTCCAAAAGGAGACCCAGTCGGCACATTTAGATTTGAATATGATAAAGGACATGAACCTATCTCTATAGGCGTAGATACTTTTATAGATACTAGAGGAATTAGCATTTGGTCTACTGGTAGAAAACCAATAAAAGGAGTTGATCCTGTACTTACAAGAAAGACTTCTCTCCAGAGAATGTCATGCTGTGTAGCGAGACACCACTACCATTTGCCCAGGAGGGCAAGGTTCATGGGCCTCAAGCAGAAATGCCCAACCCTCCTTGGTGTTTGGGTTGAAAAACTTTCGTCCAAGCCACGAGGTGGAATTTGTGCTTAGATGCTTCGCCAGTTACTGCTGAATTTTGATGGGTGCTCCTTGGGCATTCCGGGACTTGCAGGCATTGGGGGACTCTTCAGAAATAAAGATGAACATATGCTTCTCCCTTACTCTCGCCCTATCAGTTTCTCTGACGCTAGTACTGCTGAGGTCATGGCCCTTCGTGAAGGCCTTAAAGCCTTCATCCCCTCCTGGAATCCAAACTTGGTCATTGAGTGGGGACTCCAAGAATGTGATAGCTTGGGGTTCTGGTTCTTCCCCCTGCCCTTGGAGGTTTGAACATATCTTGGATGAGATTTCCCAACTCTGCAGGGCTATTCACGTTTCATGGATTCATATCTCATGGGAAGCCAACATTGCCGCTGACTACCTTGCTTAAGATGGCACTACACAATCGACAAGCACGCCACATGATCTTTAGGGGACTCAATATCACCTTTTTGTGCATGGAGAACCTGTTTTGTATCTATCAGTTGTTACTGTGTAGCATTTTTTGGTTGCCCTCCTGAGGTCGTACATTTTTTGGACCCTTGTGGTTTTTGTATAGGGCCCCTGTTTTGAAGGGTGCCTTTACTCTCCATACTCTTGTACTTACTTTCGTTACCCCACACAAAGTTAACATATTCAAAGAAAAAAAAGAAAAAAGCCTCGCTCGACCAAAGAAAGGATCTCACAAGTCTCTCTCAGGTGTCGATGATGCTCACAGGCATAATGAAAAGGGACATAAAATAAATAGGAATGTAGGATCGAGTAGACTTGAGAAGGTTGATTCAATCCCCAAGGGCGAGGAATCTACCTTTCCATAAGGCCAGATAGTTCTGGAATTTCTCAGCTATGGGATCCTAAATACTTTTAATGGGTTCTCCAAGATAAAAACGGAGACCAAGATACTTGGAGGGCAAAATCCAACCTCAAAGTAAAAGCTTTGAGGTCATTGTCGCCAACAGATAACCTATGAGCTTGGATTTGGCCATGTTGATTTCCATGCCTTTGGCCACTTTGAAGATCCTTAGGAAATGCTGAAGGTTATCGACTGCGATATCACAGGCATTGCAGAACACCAAGGTGTCGTTTGTGTATTGGAGATGAATAATCTCCTCACCCACTTTAGAAGGCTTGAAGCCCACAAGAGACCTATGATGATGGAGCCTAGAGAGAGATCTGCTAAAGGCTTAAGCAACAATGGCTAAATAAACAAAGGGTTTTTATCTGCCGACTAGGATTTGTTAATGCCATGAACGATCCAACTTCGAATAAAATAATTTCAATGCAGCTCATGATCAGGTCCTTGAGACTTCTCAAATGCGTTTGGCGCAGCTCGTGTTCCAGGTCGTTGGATCTCCTAATTAGATCATTGAGATCTCACGATGTGGAGAAACCACCACCACGACCAGAGCCTCCTTGACCTCGTCTGGCAGCCATCATGCAAACTTCCAGTGTCTAGGTGCTTTGGGAACGAGCCTACTCTAGTACCAGATGGTGTATAGGAACTAACAAGCAGAAACAAAGTGTGAAGTTCTTAGAAATTGATTGGAATAAAGAAAGATGCTTATCAGTGTTTCAAAAAACGCTGGGCGACAGGTGGGCCAGGCTGCCCAGTGCTTAGGCGGATGCCCAGAACTTGGGTGGCCCAGTAGAAAGAAAAGTTGTTTAAGGGTCAGGTTTTGTGTAAAAAAATAAAAAAATTACATATTGAGGCATATTTTAGTCCATAATCCAAGATAGCACATTAATTCATAGCAACAACCCATGGGCCCTCTAACCCAAGGCCTCTTAGGCCCCCCACTCCCAGAACCAAGTACAACTCCCTTTCCCTTCCCCCTAGTCTAGGATTGTTCTACCTCTTGACATCCCTCTCCGTCTTGATCACTACCATCATCAAAATTGACCCAAACCCTAGATCTCATCTCTGCTATAGATGCCTTTCTTTCATCTTTTTTGTTTTTTACAATGCTCATAAATTTTTTTATCTCCTCTCTAATAGTATCACGAGCTTTTTTACATGGGGCAACATGCCCCCTGATACTGGCAAGATGTTTCTTAAACCATCATATGCCCCCATTTGTATCTTTTTCATAATAATTGCATCTTATGCAATTTTTATCCAAAAGATTTGGGTTATAGCCATATTTCCTACCCAAATCGCTACTTCGATTAGATCCTAAAAAAAACATCTCAAAATAATATAAGCAATCTAAAAAATAAAAATTGTCACTAACTTTGATTGCTCGATCTCCAAACTTCTACCTCTGAGATGTTTGCTAAAGTCAAAATCTTCTAAAAAACCCTCTAATAGACTTATAAAAATTTCAAAATTAAATCTAATTTCAATGGGGTGATGTTTAGATTGATTTCTCATAACTTTGAGAAAGACTTTGATCTTATGGAAATCACAAAAAACTAGTTTTTTATTGTTTTCTGTCTAAAATAGGCTCTAATGGGGTTTATGTTTTAAGGAAACTAAAACCCACCCTTATCCCCATTTTATTAAAAAAAAAAAACCCAAAAAATGCCCACCGTTCCCCTGGGTGGCCGCCCGGGGCTGGGAGCTAGGCACTTGCCTAGGTGCGTTCCCTACCGCCTAGGCCTGGGTGAGCTGGCCAGGCCCTTTGGACTGCCTAGGTGGCCACCTCTGCGCTGTCCGGCCCTCCTTTTAGAACACTAAAACGTACAACCCAAGGTTCAATCTCTAATTCTTGTTAAACTAGGAAATACAATACAAAACTCCAAAAGACTACTCATGCCTTTCTTTCCTGACCTTTATAGACCACAAACCCTAATTAAAGAGGATTCCTAATAAGAATAGAACTTCTAATCACGAATTAACAACTTTCCCCTTGACAAACAAAATACGACAAATCCACCCATTAAAAAAAAGAAAAAAGGACCAGCCTAAACTGACACTAAATGCTTGACTAAACTACAAAAGGCCCTGAAAATACAGAAAATACAATCCCAATGGTTGAAAATCCAAAGAAAATCCCAAATCTGTCCATCTTGTGCCTGGATCAGTGCATGCAGAGATGTGATGGATGCTCTCTGGCGTAGCTTGGGTAGCATAGTGGGTCTGATGTGATAGCTGGAGGTTTGAGTTGTCTCCATGGTGACGGCACTTTCGTCCCTGAAGGTTTGAGGATCATTTTTTGCTTTGAGCTGCGTAGATTCCATCATGAAGAATAACTTAATCAGAGAGTTAAGAGATTACTTTTGGGTTTTCTTCAGGTCATCTAGGTTGAAATTTTTATTTGTGGCATGTAAAGCAACCATCCTTTCATCTCAAGAAAAATTGTTTTTTTTCCTTTCAAGTGGAAGAACCTTTTTGTATGTCTTTTGCATGGTTTGAATTCAGATATTTGACACCATCAAGATGCATAAAACTAGGGTCCTTAACGAGGCTAGTGATTGTTTTGCCAATTCTTATCATAATGTTCATGTGCTGTAGTTTTTCGTTTCTTTGCTGATTTTGGTATCAATCTGTATGTGCATTTCCATGTTTTAATAGAGCTTATACTGATTATTTGATTTCTACGTGCGCATGTAGTTGACACAGAAAATGAAAGTGCTAGCTTAGAAGTAAAAACAGGGAAAGAGGCTATAGACTTGAAGGAACTCAAACGTGTTGACCATATACTCGCATCCCTACAGAAAAAGGTAAAGTTTCACTTCTGTATTGGTAATGGCCAACTTATTTACCACCTATACTTTGTATGTAAGTGTATATTTTAGAGATATTTATGAGTATATCCCCTTGAATTCACGTTCTTTAATAAATCCCCCATATTTCTGTTATTACATTCATACCCTTTTTTGGATTTTTTAAATGACTAAATTGCTGTACTTCGGATCTTCAAGATCCAAAGTTTAACTCTGGGATCAATTCATCACTAAGTTTGGCATACAATTTGAAGTTATATATCTTCGGACCTTAAAGGTCATAACTTTCACCTGGAATCTTGGAGCCAGCTCAGCTGCCAGAAGGTGACTCCTAGGGGTCCATGAGCAACTTAGGACTTTGAAAGTCAAAACCTTCAATGTCTTAAGTTGCCTAGATCGTAGGAGCCACCTACGGGTGGTATCTATGCCAAGCTTAGAGATGCATTAGTCTTAGAGTTAAAACTTTTGACTTTGAGGTGCGAAATAGGGGAAAGTTGGTTACTTCTTTAAAAATCGATGGAAATGGGTATGAATGTAAGGTTGGATTTTTAAATAATAGGGATTTATGAGGATTTGCTCGTAAATTACTCTTTATGTTACATTGAAATGGCTGGGCTTTGGAGTCCAAAGTTTGGACATTGCGTAAGATTTGTACTTTGGGGGCTTGCACGTCGACTTATTTGGTTAAAAAAAGAAGTTTTTATTTATTTTTATTTTATTTTTATTTTTCTTTTTATTTTTTATTTTTTTTTCTTGGGGTGGTTTTTTTGTGGGGAGTGGTGGGGGGGGTGGGTTGGTGGGAGAAGCATGTTGAAAAGGAGAAAAAGTCCATTATTCTACTTTTATGTAGTTTTCATGATATTCTTAGGATGTCAGTTAGCTAAAAAATATCTATTTGAGATGTTTTCTCTATGTCATAAACTCATAATTGCTTAAACATACCCCCCATATGTAGTTTTCTAACAACCACCTGTTTATCAATCATGTCACTAAATCCCCCCCTCATCTCGACTACCTTTCACAAGGCCCAAGTAATGTTGCCTTCCCTCCTTAGTACAAGTATTTTCATACTGAGGTCCCCAATCGATAGAATGGCTGACTATTGGAAACACGTTCTAGATGGAAGTTCTCACATTCCATGTGGTGTTCCAAAATTTAGATTGAACCATTGTGACCCACTACTCAGATTTGTTTCTCAAATATCTTAACCATGACTCAACTACATTTCTGAGCCCTCAATTTCTTGGTCTGCCTCTCTAGCTGCTCATCCCAACTTGTGTGCGCTTAACATTTTCCTCCAGTTTAACAGCCTTCCAATATTCATCTTCTCGTTAAGTCTACATCCAGAGATACATCTCGAGATTGTAGCCTGGTTCAACGTGTTAGTGTTTCTAATGCCTAAAACCCTTGTTTTTAGTTGTCCACTCTTTTGCTTCAACAAATTGCCTTTCTCACTTCAATTCACATGGCTCTAAAGGAAGTAAGGTTGCATCTGTTTCAAATTCAATCTTTGTTGCCACCCCTATTATCGAACTGGAAACATGGCTAAGATACCATTCAAGTTTGCATTTGTTCTGTGTGATTCTACAAGAGTATAGTACCCATTAAGGAGCTATATGAAGTTACAAACTTTGGCACAAATAATTACATGAGCGCCATCAGTGCATAAACATTTACAAAATGGTATTGTTTGCTATGAGAGCATTTACCTTGGGCACAAGGAAATCACAATTACCTGTAACCATCCAATGTGAAATACTATAGCTTGAGTGTGTTACAAAGTTCAGAAAAGTTTCTTTTGGACTTTGAGTCTGGTCAATGGAATAAATGTAGCTTCCCAATTTCAGATCCCAGGGTCAAGATCAATTGTGTCATCCATGTACTAAATACTTCTCCTTACAAAATATATACACCATATCATATCCTTGTTTCAATCCTCCACAGCATTGGGGCGGTATTTGGTGTGTGGTGACAATTTTTTCACCTGGTAGTTATATCTGTATCTCAAGTTAACTTGATCTGAAATCTGACCCATGTGCTGTTGAGGGGACATTTGGGAGAATGGTTTGCAATCTAGTAATCTATCTATAAAGTGTTGAAAATCTATCAGTTAATGAAGAGAGATGTTCTAGTCTAATTACTGAGAGAGAAGTATATGTGGTTTTATCATGAAATATTGTTTTTGTAGTTTCTCCGTTATTATAAATGATAGATTTGTTCTTGGCCTGAAATCAATGAATTTCATGTGCAAGAGCTCATTTAAGGTAATGACTTGATGTAAATTTGTCTCATGTCTAGTTTGAACCTCCAACGAATTTTGGTGGTGAGTTCCATGAGTTTTGAGTTTGTGAGCTTCTATTTGATTTTAAGGAGCAATGTTAAAAAAGGTGGAAGCCTGGGCCAATGCGGCCAAGGGTCTGGGCCCTCCTAGGCGGGCGCTTAGGCACAAAGGAAGCCCTAAGAGAAGGAGTTGGGGTGAGGGCCATATGTTGTTTTGTATGTATGTTTTGTGAATGTGTGTGTATGTGTTTCATGTGTGTGTGTGTGCATGTGGATGTATGTGTGTGCATGAGGTTTCGCATGAAATTCTTAAAGATTATCCTCTTTTTTCCTTTTGAATATGTATTTGCGAGAGAGAGGTCTCGAACACTTAGAGGATATGTCGAGAGAGAGTGTGAGAGAGGAACCTCACATCGAACACTTGGAGGTCATCGTGTTCTTTTTTTCTTTTTACATATAAAGAGGGAGCATAGGGGTCTATATGTATCTTTGTGTGTGTGTGTGTGGGAGGGCGTGCATCAAACACTTGGAGTCCATCTTCTTCTTCTTCTCATATGCTCGCTACACATTGACCTGAGAAAGGGAGAGAGAGAGAGTAGGGCAATACCCGCCCTTATTTTTTATTGGGTGGATTTAAATTGCTTTTTTTTTTTGGGCGCCTAGACCGCTTAGGTGTCCGCCTTGACCGCCTAGGCGTCTACGTTAGGCATGCCCGCCTAGACCCCACTGCCTAGGCTACAATTAGGCGGTTTGTCAGCCAGGCCGCCTAGGCGGCAGGTGGCCGAATTTACGTTCATTGTTCATGAGTGTTATGAGCCTATAAAGACTTTTGAAAAGAAAAAAGAATTTTTTTTTTTGCTTGCATTATTATCGTTGCTGCCTTTTTGTGCTCAATATTATAGTAATTTGTATTTACTATTAAGGATACGAGAGTTGAACTGTAAAAACGATTCTTCTTTGTTGTTTAACATGATAAATTCTGATTATGGAAGGAATTTGAGAATTAAGTTGATACCATGGCTATTCATGTCATTCATAGTAAACCAAAATAACAATGAAGTAATGGAGATAGCAAAACTTTGAAAACCAGTACACGAATAGTTGTGTGAAGTCGATGGATATTTGGCGTGATGAGCCAAAGCACTAAGGGATTGATAGGTTATGTGATAAAGCTAATCAATAGTTACATTGTTTGCCAAATTATGAGTGGCATTGACTATATAGTCAATCATTAGGACTGGCGATGGGCTTGGTGGGCCCAGCCCTAAAAAATTTAGGGCTTGGGCTAGGGCAAGTGCAGGCCCTCTTTTTTTTCCTGTTTCATTCTTTTATTTTTCCTCATTTGTTTTTGACCTTTACCAGCCCTATGGGGACGACAGTCGGGCCTGGCCAGGGCTGCCCTGGCTCATTGCCACCCTTATTAATCATTTCTCAGTGCACCAATAATCATATGCTTCTCTCAAGAATTGCATTGCTCTTTCTCTCTAGGTTTTGTTATGGTATTCTTTTCATAGTGTTCTGTTTTTTTTTTGGGTTATTGTTTGAATCAATGAGTTTTCTTTTCATAATAGCTTCCACCTGCGCCGCCGCCACCACCATTTCCCGAAGGTTATGTTCCCCCAACATTGTCGTCCATTGATGCAGCTGATAAAGTCATGGATGCAGAACAAAAGCCCCTTGATCCTGTAATCGACCAAGGGCCCCCTAAAAGACCTAGATTAGATAGATAGCAACATACCCATCTCTCTCTTTCCCTCTCTTTTGTAATGTCTCATTTGTTTATATTCTGGCATGGGCAATGATCCATGAACTTCCTCTCTCATTTGTTTATATTCTGGCATGGGCAATGATCCATGAACTTCATCTCTCTCTCTCTCT